CATCCGTGTGTTTTATCTCACAAATATACACTTCTTAATCGTAATTCACTTTTAATCGTCCTTTTGTAAGTTTCGCAAAAGTATTATCTCGTTCGTATATACACGTACCGATAAATTTGATCAATAAATTACTTTTCTTGTAAAAATTGTACTAGAAATTGCATATCGACTGGAATGACGGTATTTGGATTAATAAATTGATTTCATATACAGACGTACGTACAACTCTTTTAATTTATCGATTTTGTTTCTCGATAACAATAGATAAATCGGTCCATTTTACTGCACCATCTTTACGTAGAAATAATTTTCATTTAATCATAATCTATTGCTAATTAAATTACGCGTTTATAATAAAAATTGTAAGTATATTGCCAATTATATACATAGCGTACAGAACATATTGCACATACAAGTTTAAAATTTACATTGTGTGTTTTTAAACAAAATGACAAAAGACTTGATATTTCTTTAAAATTCATATTACACGAATCAACGGTTTACTCAATTATCGTACTTCTTATTATTAATATCCAAACTAATTTAAACTCGTAAATCTTCTCCCGCCGACTGTGAACCTTCTCTCTCGTAAAATATTCGAGTCCTACGAAACTTTTGACTATCGGTAGCAACACACGCATTTCTCATTTTTTTCGTCCCTCGATCCAACGAAAATTTTCACGTTTCGTTATCCATTGTCGAACAGTCGCATCAGCTCCTCCATTACACCAATTATGCGTCGCGCCGTTCATTTTTCCAAGCTTCTCTCTGATTCATCAGAATCTCCTTGGTTCACTGTTTCCGCGGCCCCCAGGAGCGCGCAATTAAGAAGAGATGAACATGTGCAGCGGGCCAACGTTTCGTTTAACGAACCTGGCGAACCTTTTATAACCCGAGAAATACTGTTTCCGGCCGACTGGTCCCACTCGCCGAACGATTTCGTATTTTCAAGGGGTACACGCTAGTTGCTTTGTCGCTGATTCGTTCGTCGACTTACAGTCGACGACGCGAACCTTCCATAATACCACATAATAATTATAAAATGAAAATTATGTAATTAGTTGCCTGCTTTTATTAACTTTTGTACACTTTCAAATTTTTCTATTGGCAAATATTTGACGCGAGTCATAACTTTAGAATGGAAAGTAATTTTAAAATGGGAAGATGGTCGGTAGATACCTTGTTAATATAATTCATAGGAGTTAGATTTATTAATTTTTCAAAGAAGACGTAAACTATTGATTTTTATGCATTTATATGGAACGTACAAAAACTCATGAAATATTTTAAGCAAATATTTAGAGAGTAAAAATAGATATTTATTTCGGCTTTATTTCTATGTTTAATGACTTTCCTATCAAGAAAAAATCACTATAAAATTCAATTCTCCTATAAAGACAAATCGTTATCGGCTTTAGTTACTTAGATACGTGTACAGCCGAAATACACCTAACACAAACATTTTTAATGGTTAATAATATAATGATATAGCTACTCTAAATTCTCCATTCATCTTCCTAAACAACTGCTTCCTTAAACGCTGCACTAGTCATTGACCAAAGCTTCAACACCTCTTCTCCTAACTTTCAGCATCCTTAGCTGTTACTCCGCTCGTGCTGCCTAATAATCCTTCGCGTTGAGAGATTGAATCGGCCGTGGATATTATCGAATCGCACGCTCGACGCTCGGCTCGCGCGAATCATTATCCCTCTCTTTTATTTTTCGTCGTTACGAGCCGCGCAATCATCATTGGCAGTGATTTCTTCGCGGAACAGGTGCGAGAGGCGAGAACGATCTGCCGAACGATTGTTACCTTGGAAAATAGACCATAAAAGTGGGAACAGAAAGGAAGAATGAAAGAGAAGCGTGAAACAGACGAAGCAAGCTTATTTTCAATCGATATTTCAAATTTATTAATATTATTACAAGCGTTACTTTTTTCTAAATTCGAAGAAAACCTATTATATTCGTAGAGCATGGCGGCATTTCAAAAGAAATAATGGCTCGTTTCGGTGGATAAATACACATTTTATTCGCGAAATATTATTCCTTTAGAATATCTAAATTAAGATTATATCCAAGAACGAACGTTATAATTACAACAGCTTTATTTCTCAGAAGAATATACAAAGAAAGTTCGTTACGTCCTAACAGCGAAGATTGCTGTAAACTTTTGAGGGAGTATACGTGCAACTTCCAGTTTCGCGTTCAATCTTTTCATCCGAACAAATTGAAATTGAAACGGTTAATAGGAAAACGTAACATGTCACGCCTTAAAAGCTACGATTCAGCAATTTTATAAATTGTATATTCTATACCCTGCGCCATAAAAAAAAGGAAAAAGAGGAAAACAAGAGGAGAAGCTAAACGGCAGGAAAAGAGTTGCAGCGTTGTAATTTACATGTGGACCCATTACAAGGCGTCCGGCGTCGTTATCAGCTGGCAACTTGCACAACAGCGAAACGACCGTCGCGGCGTCGCTGTATTTAAAACGCATTAAGTAGAACGAGATTCGTTGATTGCTCGGTTCGGGGGAACCCGGTATTTCGTGTAAGTACGTACGTCGTAAACGACGCCTGTTCCCGTGTCGACGAACACACGATAACAGGGCAAATGTCCCTGGAAAAACGAGAAAAATAGAAACGAACGACGATGACTGTCAGAGCGGTCTCCACCTTGAACTCGACGTTTGACAAAGCTGATACGAACGACCACGTCGGGTTCACGCGTATCAGCAGCCTCGCGGAAAGCTTTACCTCCAAACAGTGTAGTTTACTGTACTGATACACCGTACCGTGTATCTTTACGAGCGAAAAGAAACCGAGCTCGATACTCTACCAAACGGAAGAGAATTGCCAGTGTTAGAGTTTAATGCGTCGAGTCAGATACAGTTTCTGATTGATGTAAATAGGACACCTGTGTATTGGATATACAGCGATTCGCCAAAGTATTTGAACAATTATTTTCTTTTTTATTTATTAAAATTTACAATCAATTCTCGCATTGAGAATTTTCAGTAATTTTTTCTAGCGTGACGCAGTAACATGGCTAATTATTTATAATAAGTTAATACTTATTATAGATAAGTATAATTTATAAGTAACTATTATAAATAAGTAAATATTACTTAATTTAGATAACTAATTGAATCTAGCGTTTAGCTCTTCAGCCTGCGGATCTGGTCCGACGTATCAAGTAGTCCAGTAATTAGGGGGGTGTCGACTCTTTTGCTATATCTGTCGCTATATTTTGCTATTTCCTCTTTGACTGTTGGTATCTTGAGGCCGCGATGTATTAGTTCGTTGGTGACATACCAGGGTGCATTTATAATGGATCTTGGCGTTTTCGATTGGAAGCGTTGAAGTATTTCGATGTTGGAATTACTTGCTGTTCCCCATAGTTGGATTCCGTAGCTCCAGACAGGTTTTATTACGGTCTTGTAGAGGGTAATTTTATTCTGTGTGTTTAGTTTGGAGCGTCGGCCCGTGAGCCAATAGAATTTTTTTAGTTTGTCCTTTAGTTGCTTCGTTTTGTCTGTGATGTGGTTTTTCCATGTTAGTCTCCTGTCCAGGGTCATGCCCAAGTATCTGACTGAGTCCTTGCTAGGAATTGTATTGTTGATGGTGACCTGGGGGCAGGTTTGTTTACATCTGAGGATTTTTTTCATCAATTTTGAAGCCCCATTTATGAAACCACTTTTCCATAGAGTCGAGCCATCGCTGGAGAGTGGATGAAGCAATTACCGGGCCTGCGTGGGAAGCTAATAGCGCTGTGTCGTCAGTAGTATTTGAACAATTATAGAAATATTTTACGAACATATCGCGTGTATTTCAAATTTCCTTGGCACTGTAACGAGACACGACTATCGCGATGGTATTGGTAAAACTTGAAACCAATACAAAAATGTGTATTGAAGTTGCAAGATACGTATTACGAGCATATATTTAACTGAGGTTATCAAAGCATTCGAACGTTCGTTTAATCGTCGTATCAATGTTTAATGGTCTCATCTTTATTATTAAAAGAAGGCAGAAAAATCAAAGTATTACAAATGCGCCATTTAATTTCATACGACGATCGATTAAAAACCATCGACTCGTATTCTTAGTAATCAAAAAAAGAGCGACGATAAAAACAGCGAAACGAAATACGACAAAAATTTGAAACATCGATTAATTTCACGCGATAACCAATTAGTAGCCATTGCCCCAAATCTCAACGTTAAGGAAAAAAGGAAAGAAGTAAGGAAAAACACGATAACGATAAAAAAATCAGCGTGGAAGCGTGCGAGGAGCGTGGTCGTCGTCGCACGAGATCCAGTCGAGATGCACACGTGTTCTTTGAAGCGGCATATGTGGCCCACTGTAGGCTACGGAGATCGTAACGTCGTAACTCGTAACGTAATGCCGGGAACGTCTGTCTTGTAGCAACAGATGCTGCGAGCATGCATAAGCGCGAGGCAGCTCGCATACCTTGGTATCGCCACGGATTGCCGTGTACACGGCGTGTTGTTGGATCGCAAGGGGAGAGAAACGGGCCGTTCGTACGATGGGCGTGTACGCTCCGGCTACCGGTCTTGTCCGCAGGGACGGACAACCGTCTATTACCGGGAATACAGGTGTGAGTCCACCGATCGACGATTACCTTTAATCGAGCTTGGCCCGTTTATCATCGCCGTTAAATATTCGACGGATCATCGGCCGCCCGGTTGACAAGGAACCGCGTGTAAGATTTGCGATCTGCTTCATAACTCGACCGTAGTCCAGTTTGTAAGTACGCTTCAGGGGTAAAAAAGTAATTTAAGGGACCGCCAGGTTGCCCGTTTCGCTTCGCTTTCTTTTTCGATCGCGTGATCCGGAGCGCAACCCGTGTGGTACAATGTTGATGGTTTAAATGACAGGTTAATGCCTCTGAGCTTGTACGGTAAAGTGGAGATAATTTCGTTTCCTTCCAAGTTTGGTCTTTTTGCGCTTCCCTTTCCTTTTTCGCTCAGTTTTTTCTCTTTTCTCTTTCTTTTTATTTGTTTGGAAGAATTCGGAAGTTGTTTTTCTTTGAAAGTAGAATCTCATAGGAGCGAACGTTTCGTTTTCCTAATGTGCATTGATCGTAGTAGGTAAAAATTATACATCGAGATCAACGCTTGACCAACAGGTATCCAATTTGGATTTAAATATTACACGAGTAACTACGATTAAAACGGTGTAATGGAAACGAAATAGAAATAGGTAATCATATTTTGATTAGGGTAGAAGGTAACATTGGTAACAATCGTTAGTAATCGTAGGGAAGAGAAAATCGAAGCTTGTCGTTTTAAAAAGTTTGTCAATTCTACGTACTTCGATCTCTCGTTCGTAGGTTTCTACTGTAAGATGAGAAAATACGATTTTCGTGTGTGACGTATCAAAGCAAATTCAAACATATCGTTTCGCAAAGATTTCATAGATATTCTTATAATTGTCAAATTTCTATTTTCAATATTACACGTTACACCATTCGATTAATGTAGCTTATATTAAATTTTATTTTATTTTACATTTTACGACGGTGTTACCATATTCTTAATAGATCGAATGACGTTGAGAGAATCGACGTCATCTTTTTAATATTTACACCATCTATCGTTCCAGCCTCTCAATTATTATCTAAGAAGCATATATAGAATAAAGTCATAGAGGATCTCGAAATCCATGCACGCAACCATGTAGCTCGCATTAGTTGCGTTGTGGGGTGTGCTGCGCATAGATCGGAGGGTAAACATCGCTTTAAATTTGAATCACGCCAGCAACAACAAGCAGCGAGAGCGCTACGAAACCCCAAAGTTCGTTTTCTGTCGCGAATCGCTAGACGTGCTTCCACCTTCCTCCCTTTCCTCATCGTTTACACACCTTTATCTTCTCTTTCCTGCTTCTCTTTTGTTTGCCCTTTTCTACTTTTTTGGTTCATTTTTATAGTTTCCTTTAGGTGTATTCACCGCGGCTTTATGAAACTTTATTTCTTCGCGCGTTTCACATTTCCTCGGGATTTGCTAAAACGTAGGTCTTAAAAACGAATGCCAATGCACCTGGAAAAATTGAAAATATTTTTAGCATAGGAAATTTGTAGTTGTCTCGATTTACAATTATTAGATAATTATGATTTTATTTGGTAATTTGTTCGGTATTTACTTTGGTTTGTTTATCCAAATATGGTTTAAGCGTAAACACAATTAATAAATAAATAGTTATAAAGATGCGTAAGATGCGATCTTTTCACTTTTCTCGATACAGTTTCCACGAAATAATCTCTTGCGTGCTACGTTAAAAATACCGCAGCAAAATCAGTTATTCTCGACCATCGATTGCAATAACTAAAACGCATAAATTTAATTTGCCTGAAAATTGCTTTATAATTCGTACGCGCTTGATTTATCTCGAAAATCTGCACAGAGCAAAAACTTCATCCAATTATCAGATATTCAGAAGCCATAACTCTTTAACGATTGACGATTGAAAGCGATTACATACGATTAAACTCTTAAAACACACCGGAAAAAAGAAACGCAGAAGAAGCAAGTACTACGATATTGCCGAAAGAAACCTGCTTGTACCTTAAAGTACTCATTACGCAAATTACGCCGAGCCCTGAAATCGAGTCTCGAATCACTCGAAACTGCTCATCAGCACAATCGAACCTCATCTTCAACGCTCGACGATCTGCCTAAAATTTCAGGCCTCGAAGCAACGAACAATTTGAAATATTAATTCGAAGGGTAGATACATCTTCACGTGAAGAACAAAATTGTCCAAATGGAGTGCGTTTATAAAGCTCGATAAGCGATACATCGTTGTATTATCGCTTATATTACAGTCGAACCAGTCCCACTGTCGTAAGAAAAAGAACGTTCATTATGCTCGGTGTTCTTGCGTTCGAAGACCTTAAAGAGAAGCTCAAACGTGTGGGAAACAAGATTTTCAAACTCAAGACACAGAAATTAAATGCTGAGGTTATTAAATCAAGTCGTTAAATTGAATTCCACTTAACGATAATTACATACCTGCTTAATATGTTGCAAAAATTTTATTTTTTATATTTGAAGCTTAATATTCCGATTGTATATTAAAATGACGTGTTTTTTTATCAATGTCAAAAAAGCAATAGAATTTTTTAGTAACAAATTAATACACAAATAATTGTACAAATATTATGTTCTATGAATAGGTATCCGAGTACAACATTTTATAAATACTTATATTCCTTTATCGGTTGGTTATTTTTCCCTAAAAGAATTAAATTTCTACCTTAATTTAAAATTATACCTTATCGTATTATAATACAATACCGATTAAAATATACGTACACGTTCGTTTACAGTATCGCTCTCGTTATAATCATCGATCTGTAACGCACGATTATCGAAAATTATAGAATTCGAAGCAACGAGTAATCCGAAACACGATTTCGGGTAATTCTTCGCGTAAAGAAAAAGATTGTCCAAGTGGAGGGCGTTTATAATTCTCGATAAACGATATATCGCTTACATTACAGTCGATACAGTTTCGCTATTGGGTAGTCGATGAAGAAAAAGGACGTTCATTGTTCTCGGTGTTCTTGCGTTCGAAAACCTTACAAAGATCTTCTCCGAACGAGTGGGAATCAAGATTTCGCTTGTAGCGGCGCTTGAAAGATCTTTTAAGTGGTTCCGTTGCAATGGCTAACCGAATAAGAACGGGACGCGATGGAATTTGTTCTCTTTGGAATTTCATTTCGCGCGAACAATGAAAGCTTTCGAAGAGTAGGAGCATCGTTGGTTACTCTTCCCTTCTCTCTCCCCTTCTCTCTCTCTCTCTCTCTCTTTCCCTGTTCTATCGTCTATTTTTTGTTCTTTTTCTTTTTTATTATTTGTCACTTCACCGATGGATATCGATCTTGCTATTCATCGCAAGCGCTGCTTATATGCATATCAATGATGAAAGCTCCAGTCAAACCGATCGCCGAGCGCGAAGAATATATTTTCGATTCGTTTCGACGTGAGTTATTATCGGAAGGGTGAAAAAAGGAGAAACACTTAACGACCGTGAATTGACTCGTTGCGCAGCCGTTTAATGCGACCGGGTTAAAACTGATTTTTTAACGGGAGATGGGGAAATAAACAGGGTAGAGGAAGTATACGTTAATTTACGTGCGATTCTTCCTTTTCTTCCTTGCTTTTAGCGTCGAGTATGGTAAAAATAATTAATTTTTATCGAACGCGTTTCGTTAGATACTCTTATTGCTTTCTTCTTTTGTTTTCAGTTAATCGTTAACATCGTATCGATTACAAGGTTATTGGCGTCGTCTGTTAAAAAATATACTTCATCGCGTGAGATTACATTTTGTCATTTAGATTCTATTATATTCCTTTCGCGTGATAATTTACCAACTATTAATTAGCGAAATAACAAGTTACAAAACGAAGGTTATAGGCTTCTTTTCTACGATTTTATTTCAAATCGAACAAGACGATCGGGCGACCTGTAATTCGACGAGTTTGCTTTTAAAATTCCATTTGTTTCGTCGCCGTTATAAATCTTCTCGTAAATTTTTTAAACAGTTCCAAAAAAAAAAAATTATTTATTTTCTCATACGACGCCAAGTATACTTTTACTAACACAATGTCCCGACAGTCAATCCACGCGACAAACACGGAATCTACACAGCCTGGAAACATCCCTTCAAATAACGCCGCAAAATTTCATCAAAATTCCTTTCATTTAACCCCTCTCCTGACGAAAGCGGGAAGCAAAAACGGGAAAAAGAAGGTGGAATCTTCATCGAGACAACATCCTGGAATTCGTTGAGCCGCGTGTTTTCGCTCGTGTCTGCCAATCTTTCGTCGGATAGAGAACGCGCGAGGGACGAGGCAGCGAAATAAAAGATCGGCCTCGCAATCCCGACGAACCCCGTATTTCTGAAATCGCTGTGCCTACGTAATGAGCGCAGACAGTAGCGGGTAAAACGCGCGCGTACAAGCGGCGTGCCGTGAAGTTAATATACAGAGTTCTTTCTCCTCTTGCTCGCGCTTCTGGCTTGCTTCTTCTGCCCGCCTCTGTTTAGCCTCGCTCACAATAAGGAAGCAGTGGCGCGGGTCGACCTTCAAAGATTGCCGGTGCTGGCCGCCGCATGATAATTATTATCGCGAGCGCACGTTGATCCGCACGTATGTACAATGTACACCTCGTCCGCGTATGCGCGATGGTATAATTGGTGGTGGATATGCAGCGAGCTTTTAGCGCTTCCTTTTATTATTTTTCTATTTCTTTTTTTTTTATAAAGGTTTTTATCGCAATCCAATTCATGATTCATGTTCGTTCGACATAATTCGAGTGGGAATTTTTATGGGAAGTTTAAAAATTCGGAACAGAATACGCGTATAATATAGAAAGACAGGGTAGTACTTGTTATAATTTTTAACAGGTAAAACAAAACTATGTTTAAGTTTTAGTTCTTTGATCGAATCTAAAAAAAAAACTGTAAAAATGTCAATTCGTATCTATTTTTTATTTCTTCGGTTTTGCTTGCCATCGAATCGATCCAAGGAATTAAATCGAAGCAGTGCACGTGCGTTTTTTAAATCGCTGTACAGCGAATAAATATTAACGGAATAAAAAATATGGGTGAATTTTTCGCGTAAAAAGGCGGCTCTGTGCATCGAGCACGGACGAGGAAAGACGGTTACGGTTCGGAACGCATCCGTCCTCGTGTGCAGATGCACGCACGCGTGCATTCGTGGGCGAGATGCAACGGTAGACAGCGTTTGCATCATACTTTTATCGCCTAGGTTCCGTCTTCCTCCAATTTAATAAAAATAACCGGAAGTTGTATCACACCGGTAAACCCGGTGCGAACACCAGCGTAAAACGCTGCATCTGCCACCGTTTCGACCTTTCTATTCTGTGCTCGATTATTTCGGTTAAAATAACGTATCGTCGAATAAATTTGAAATTTAAAAAAAAAATGTCTATAAAAAGATATAGATAGATAATTAATCGATATAAAAAACTATTAGTAACGAACAATTAAGGTATACAAAGTTTATGGGAAAATAATATCCAAAATATTCAAAGAAAAATGCTCGCAATCGGTACAATATTTAGAGAATAAATTAAATCTCTCTTTTCGAATCTCATTTCTTTACTCGATCCCGCGACAAATTATCAACATCCGCAACCTAACGATCGCAACCAAAATTTACGTTACTAAACCATTTCTTGCTCGTCGCAACCTTTTCCTCGCAACTTCGATGAAACGTCTACGAATCTCCTCGCGCCTCTCCCAATTCCACTTAAAATTAGCGACGCGAACTTGTGCTCGATTCGTCGAAGGTTTACGCGCGAACCGTGACCGAAATCGCGATGAAAACCGTCTATAAACGGTGGGATCTCTATCGGTACAATGTTCGGCGAGTCGCTAAAAGCGAAGCAGCTCTCGGACTGGGTTTCGAGGAGCCGCAGGTCTCCACGGTGGCAATTTGGCGCCGGTTTACAGACGGGTGCCGAGCTATTGCTTTTCGCGGAGGAAATTCCAGAAGGCTAACGCTGCTCCTAACGCGCATACCATAATGATCGGTTGGCTTTTTTGCTCTGCAACTATCCAGCGAGGAAAGGTCCGCGCTGTTGTCGATTCTGTACGACAAACCGATGCTCCGACTCTCTTTTCCACTCGGTTCCCCACCTCTCGCCGATCCGTTGCCAACCGTTAAATCGTTTACAACCTGGTAGCTTGTAAACGAACGACCGCGGCCTCTGCGAACAGATACCCGCATCTCTCCGGCTCTTCTTCCTCTCGCCGCGATTAGCGAGGCCTTCGCCAACGATTTACGAACCGGAGATCGAAATTCTGACACTCGTGCGAAACGATGGCTCATTGTTCGCCGACAAGATTCCGCGCGCTAGCAAGAAAGTTTCGTCAGTTTTGCTTGATCGACTCTGCCACGTTTCGCGGTCTTACCTCGAACTTGGATTTTTACGTGGTGAATGACTCGTTGCTTGGGCTTGACAGAGAGAGAGAGAGAGAAACGTGCTGTTCGACTCGAGGGGAGGTTAA